GGCTGTACATGTCATCTCCTATCACTCATCTATGTGTGTGTGTTTGTGTGAAATGGCAGACCGACTACCTGTGTGAAGAAGAGTTTCCGTTATTGACGTGGCAAAAACTGCTGGAAGACACTATGTTGCTCTTAGGTAAAATGACTCTCAGTGATCTTGTAATGGGGAGGGTACTAAGTGACAGGCTGAGGGATGCTGAGGCAAGCCCACCAGCTCTGACTGGATGCTGGTGTCTCAGCCTGGCAGATTTCCTCAATGCTTTGGTTCTTCTGTAAGTTAATGTACCCATTGCGTGCTAACAGATAGTAGCAACAAACCAGATTACAGTCCAACTAGATTTTTGAGGCTCATTCAAATAATCGTTTTTTTAAGAGTGCAAACATAAAAATGTCAACATATGTCAACACATAGCCTAAAAAATCATCTTTAAACTTAGGTGCTGTGTGACCAAGACAGTGTGTAATATCCATTTCTGCATCTCTTTATTTCCTGCGACCCTAGTGAGGATTAAGCTGTGTATAGATAATGGATGGATGGATGGATCTCTTTATTTACTTTTTATTGGCTGGTATTGATGGCCAATGAATCCCATATAACGTCCATGATAAGCTTGTATCACAGGTCTAGCTGATTGATTCTTGTTCAAGGTACTCTGGATGATTTATTGTCTGAAAACAGTTATAAAAGACTCATAAGAGCATTGTTAGTAGTTTTGTATTCTTTTCCATTGGTGTTTATTCTTTAGCTCACCACATGCGTTTGTCTTTTTAGCTGTTTAACTGTCCTAACTGTCCTTTTTACTTTGCCCCGTCCCTACTTGCGACATCCGTCAAGCTGTCTGTTCTCACACAGCACGTAATGCATCATATAGTAACTGACAAATGTTCCATGCTGATTTGAATACTGTGACATTGCAACATAACCACTGGGTTTACATACATTAAAAAAAAAGTCTTACAACAGGTAGGTGTGATGATTTAAACTGTTATCATCACATCAGTATACACCGAATGTACTCAAGTCTCACCTGTAGTTTGAGTAGATTTTTCTGCAAGGTGGCTGCAAGGTGGCTTGGTGGTTAGCACTGCTGCCTCACAGCTATAAGATCCCCGGTTCGTGTCCCGGTTCAGAGAAATTCACTGCATTTGTCTCTACGTATCTATTAGGAAAAAAAAGAAAAAAAAAAGTTGCCAAAATGTTTTAATAGTCACCACCATTGGACACCACATTTGAACTTTCTGGTGCAAAGTTGCTGACGATATAATTAGTGTTTAGGGGAGGGGTTTACTAAATGTTCACTTGGGTGGTAGTAAAGTCACTTCAGCAACATAGAAGCACAGATTTCTTGACACAGAATGTCAGCAGAGTATCAACTGTTCACCATTTAGCTTCCTCCTAAATGCTTGCTGCATAGTACAGTGTGATACCTAAAGGAATGAAGCTGCTCCAGTCTATTACAGAGGGGCCTGTCATTGCCCAGTCTGCAGGGAGCACACACACCATCAGGCTCATCAGTGTTTACATCCCTTTATTAGCGTCAGGACACGACAGAGGTGAACCCAGGGTCAAATTGATTTCCTGTCCTCCCTTCTTCCTCCACAAACACAGCAAACTGTTCAAGTACTGCCTCTGCAGAGTCCATCTTATCCTGCGTCTGTCTTAATGTTGCATGTGTCTGTTTTTCTATTTTTAGCTATCGGGGTGCAGATGTCCTTGGATTTGCTGGAAAAGAGGTTCTGGGCCATTGCCAAGCAGGTGACCAGAAGACTCACTTTTACACACACAAATTAGCTGATGCCATTTTTGGGGGACAATTCACTGACTTCTGTTTATTGTCCAGAGGCTGGCATTAACCTCAAAAAAGGGACAGTGTGTTTCCATAAAAGTAGAGTAGATGGCGGTCAGCGTGCCTGGAGTACAGCATGGAAGCTGAGCAGTTACCTGTTGGATGGGACCAGCAGCACAATGAGTTTTGTGCACTTACAAAAAGGTCCATCTGAAATAACCAATATCAGTCTAAATGTACGTATATTTGGAAAACTTTTGTCAGACTTACAACAGGGAGCTAAAGACGCTATACTGCTCTCTTCAAAGTCACCAGACTCCTTTGACAAAACAGTACTTTTACCTCACAGAACATGAGAGGTGCTGGTCTGTATGAAAGTGTTAAAAAGCCAAAGTCACTCAGGAGTAGACCATCAGCTCCTGTGTTCTGCAAGATGAAATTACTCATTTCAACGTATGTAGCATCAAAGAAAAGCACCATGATGGCTTCAGTTGCTCATCAGAAAAGGCAGTCTGACAGGAAGGTGAAAAAAAAAGTGCACGTAAAGGTTTATTTATACTTCGGCATTGAATCTACGCTGTACCATACACACTATCATGATGTGCACCTCCCTACAAATAGACCTCTGTGTCAGAGCGGCACAGACTGCAACAAGTCCGCTTGGTAGTAATATGCCATGTAAACAGGTCATATTGACTTTTGCAAAGATAATGCTTCAGTGAAACAAAGATGTACTGTGTGAACGGCTGTAACTGTATTTTGCTTGCTCATAATGCAAACCCAGCATTGTGCCAGTGTAGCCATATGCCGTTTTCTGGTTGTATCTATGCGTTTCTTTTTTCTTTTAGGCATTGCAGCAATTTCAGTGACCGTTGTCCTACATTTATTAGCTCCAACTCCAACATGATCCGTTCCATTTCCGCCACAGTTGTTAAAGAAAGAAATTCAACACGGGGGGCATAAAACCCCCACCGCACTTTGGCTGTGTATTTGCGAGCGACTTAGACACACCAGTGCCTGAGTATAAATGCTCACAATGGCATAGGCTCTATGTAGATTAAATGCAAGAGTATAAAAGACTGATACGGATTGAAGAAAAAAAACCTCCCCTTTAACAAAAAGAAGCCTACAGCAGAACCAGGCTTAAGAAGACACCCCCTCACACATGTTACATACAGATAGATAAGAAACCATGCACAAGAGAGCATGCAATTGTCGTGCAAAGTGTGCTGGTCGAAGAAACAGCAATAAGGTGCCTATAATACTGGTATTTACAGAAATGTGCAAGAAATTGTTAGTATTTACAGTAATGTGCAAATTTACACTTATCATACTGACAAAGTACAAGGTGCAATGTGAGAAAAAGAATTAATCATGTGTATGTAGTGGGGGTGTGGTGCATGAGTCCTGGTCATAGACTGTATAAAAGATGGACGAAGCAACCGGCCCTGAAAAATGAAGCCAACCCGGAAGTGTCAAAAACCTGCAATATCACTACATCCGCTCGCTGCTGGCTCCAAAAAGCCCTGGCTCCCATAGACATGAATTGGAAAAGAAGTGATCACAGATCATGAAACACCGCATTCCTACCGCTCAGGATTTTTTTAACAATTAGTTTTCATAGTCGAATCCAGAGATCAGGTGGCCAATCTGAAAATAAATCAATACTGAATTTTTTAAAATCGTCAAAATTTTGCGGGGCAAGGGGCGTGGCTGGCTTGATTGACAGTTGGCAGCGACGATACAGACAAAGCGAGCAGAAGGCGGGAAATGTGGGCGGGCAGAGAGGGCCCGCCTCTCAATCCGTCTGACCAATCGCTGCTCCTATGGCTCCGCCCCCCTCCGACGATTTTTGCGTCACTGGCTCCAAAAATCCAAGATGTCAACCAGGAAGTAGCAAAACCCTGGCTTCATTTTCCAACGGGTGACCTCACGGTAGCTACGTCCATCTTTTATCCAGTCTATGGTCCTGGTATGTAGCAACCAACAGATCAGACAATGAGTCGCTGCTATTGACCAAGGTGTTAAAGTGGCTGATGGCTGTGGGGACAAAGGATTCCTGTACTGTTCAGTCCTGCAGCACAGGAAGATGAACCGCTCACTGTAGCTGCTCCTCTGTCCAGCCAGAATGCTATGAAGACGGTGGCTGGCGTTGTTAAGGATGGACTGCACTGTGCTGTGTATGTGTCTCTCAACCACAGTCCTCAGTGAGTCCAAACTCCTGCCAAGCAAAGAACCGGCCTTCTTTACCAGCTTGTCCAGCCGCCTAATGTTCCTCTCAGCCACGCTACCGTACCAACAGACCACCACATAGAAAAGAACACTGGCCACCCGACTGGTAAAATATATGCAGCATTCCAATGCCTACAGAGGACAAGGTCGATCTTAGTCTTCTGAGGAAGAACAGTCAGCTCTGTCCCGTCCAGTATGATGCTGTTGTTGAGTTTCTGCAGTTCACCTCTTAAAATTAAAACAATAAACTTGAGGTTTTATCCTCAGCTGACTTTGTGCATTCAAACATTGTCACAGCAGCAGTCAGGATATTTAATGATTTCATGTACAGTTCAGCTTTGGTGACCTCATACATGCAAAGTTGCATTTTTGACCACTTGCTACAAAACATGCAAATGTCCAAAGACAAAGAAGTGATTTTTTCTGTGTGACTGTCCAGTAGTAATCCTCTAAATTCTGAGGTCACTTCTTTAATTTTACTTTACATTTATCAGGGAACAGAAGTCATTAGGTTTAGGCATTAAGTCCCCTGGACGTTTCATTAAGATTAAAGTGGCGTTTTTACAGAATAGGGTCAATCACATTTAAAAGTACTGGATTTTACCCTAAACAGACCACAGTAAGGATCTACATTATTGCTCTTACTGCTGTGTGTTTTGTTTAAATGGTATCCTGCCATTAAGAGATATCTGACACACAAAATGTAGAGGTCAACAAACTAATCGTAAATGAGTATACATGCTAAGTGCTAGCAGTGGTTGTTAACATATTTGCTGATCTGGTCACTGTAGGCATGTTAACACCTTGATGTTAGCACACTATAGGTCTCAGGACTCTCTGAGGACAGGGCTCAAAGAATAACTGAACATAATCAAGCTTAGTGTTAACGACAGAAACCACTACAAAGTAGACGGTTTTGTTTGCTTTGTGATACACTGACTTCTTGAGGCTTGCTAGGTGCCATGTTAATGTCTCATGACTAATGGCAGACAATGCTTCTTTTTTGATCCTCCAGCTTTGTGTTAATGGCTTATTTGTTAATGATTTACTGCATGATTCTGACACAAAACTGAGGATTTTCTACGTCTTTGCAAGCAAGGCCTTTGGATCTCACAAATTAGAACAAAGACATTTTTGCTTGAGTGCCAGAGCCCTGAGACTGATGAATGCTGAGATGAACCCATAGACTGTATAAAAGATGGACGTAGCT